GCGAAGTCGAGCACTTTACGGTAGAACAGTTTAACGAGGACCAATACCGCACACCCTCGGTCCCTACGCAGACTAATCCAAGTGGTCACCCACCCGCACACTGACCGCAGCCAGTGATGCTTGACTTCGGTGATCTGCTGGGAACCGTGTCTTAACGATCAGTCCACTGCGGGACTCCAGCATATGAATGGTACACAATACTGAATCCTGATGGTTCATTCAGCCACACTTGCTATCTAAAATCCCAGAAAACATGATCCAGATTAGCCAGTGGCCATTTGAGGGGACTCTTTTTTTATAGGGGTCACAAGGTTTTCCCAGTCTGCACTAAATGTGCATTTGACGATGCTTTCTCTGGCCACATTTTGGATTGCTTGCAATTAAGCCACAATGACCTAAATACAGATATTCTATTGATTCTGAACTTTTGCAAGTATTTCATGGAGCTAGTTCAGCTGTCGCTTGACATGGAAGATATGTAACTAAAACAGCAACGCTTTATTGATAGGAAAAGTTATTTAGTAAGTAAAGGAGTCAAATACTTAAGATTGTTTCCCAGGAAAGGCAAAGAATGATTGAAATATCTTTAAAATGTTTAAAAATCTTGAAAATGCTTAAAATAGTCGCCTTTTTTTTTTTTTTTTAATTACCAGATTCCTTAAAAAATTTAAATTCGGAGTTTTCAGAATAGGAGATGTGCTAAATAACGATTTTACTACATAATAGGAGTTCAAGATTTGGCAATTTTTCACTTTGTTTCCATGGTTTCAGAAAATTTCCCTTTCAGTTTCCAACTTCTCCCCTTGAAAGAAACATATTGAGGTAAAGGAAAAAGATTTGTTAAAACAATGGCCAGGAAGAGGGAAAAGTGTGAAGAGTAGAAAAATCGCACAACCTTGAGGCACCTACTCCATTAATAGAGAATATAGTTAGTTTGGTCCACGAGACTTTATGAAGGAATCAGTGTGACTCTTAGGATTAAAGTCTAAAGATCCATGTATTTCATTACGCAACGAAAGAAAAAAAGAGTAGAAAAATTGCGAATAATTTAATTATGAAAATAATATTTTTTCAATTTCTTCAAGCTAAAACTTATGGAAAAAGTTTTGCATGGGTTTTTTCGTCCTATTATAAAAATGAAGAAATTCTTTGTAGTTGCAGACATACTAGGAGAAGCGTTTTAAGATATATTTCAAGATGAAGAGTCAATGGAAAATTATATTTTTTATTCAGTTCTTTTTAATGAATATGAATTGAACTTTTATCTACTCACACTTAGTACAAATGTATTTCAGGTGTTTTCTTAACAAATATATTAATTTTACAAGTCGTCGTGCTGAATTCTAGAAACGAATACAACAGTCAAAAGAAACTTCTTGGTCACTTTTTTAAACGTTCCAAAACCAAACATTTACATGACTATCATTAAAGTTTTCTTCAGCAACAAAAATAAAGTTTAGATTTATTTACTTTCATTTTACACTAGTAATATATTGATTGAATATAGAATTTAATAAAGGATTCAGGAGTGGCAATACATCAAATATTTTCATGGACAGAAAACTTTTCTTAAAAAGCATTTAAACTGTGTTTTAATTAAGCAAAAACTATCATATAAATACTCGAAATATAAATACGCACGATAGAAAAGAAAATAGAAATACGCATAAAAATTTTATTCAGTGTAAAATACAATATTACATTTTATCCGAAAGTATCAATGAAAAAATTAAAATCTAATTTTTATGGAAATATTCTAGTATTACATTCAAATTACTACATATATCAGTAAAATAATTTTCACTTAAGTTCAAATAGAAATATCACAGTGAAGTAATCTATAAAAAAATAAGAAGTAATAATAAGTTTGCAACGAAATATTTTGAACAAGAATATCTTTAAATAAAAATCAATAATACAAATTTGATTTATTACATGACCTTGAAATATTTTTAAGAAATCTAACCTCAAATAATAAAATATATTTCAAATGCATTCAGCAAAATTATTACTTACTTCAAAAGAGCTTTGCAAACATAAACATTAAAGTTCCATAAATGGTGAATTTTACGAGTATGATGTTTACATCGAAAAAAAACTAAAATTTTAATACGATGAGCATAAAATCTACTTGTAAAATTCATTGTTTATAAATTCAGTTTTTAATGTCAAATAAATTTTACAATAACATTTTAATAAATTAAAAAACTTTCGCCTCTTTAAAATAATTTTATTGTTAAAACTCACTATATTACCATAATTAAAAAGATGTATCTTCATTCATCATGTCCCCTCTTATATTTTCTTAATTTGTTTGAGGGATATCACAATTTTTTTACGGTAATAACATAAAAATTTCTGCTATTCGGAATCAGAATAACTTTCACTATCTTCGGGATCATATTTTACAAAAATTAAACGCCTGCTCGTTCTATTTTGTATTTGTGAATCATTTGCGTTGTTAGGAGCGTTTTTAGTACCAGGAGCTAACTTCATGGCAGCATAATATTGTTCTGCAAAAGCAAATGCTTTTTCTATGGTATTAAATTGTTTTGCATTAGCAAAATATTGTTTCACAGTAGCAGATATCTCTTCTATGGTTTTGAGACCTCTTTGATTAATATCAGGAGCCCGTTCTTTAATGAGAGGTGATTTTTTTTCATTGTCGAAAGGTTTTTCCTCAATATCAGAATCTTGTTTTTCAATATCAGAATCTTGTTTTTCAATATCAGAATCTTGTTTTTGAATACCAGAACCTTGTTTTCCAATATCAGAATCTTCATTATTGGGTGCTTGTTCCACAATATCAGAAGCTTGTTCTTTGATACCAGGAGATGCTACGTCAGCTGGAAAGTGTTTTTCAATAGGGGGTGTTTGATCTGTGATATCAATATAGTCTCGGAAAACGGTAATGAGGAAATCGATGTCAGGAGTGTGTTCTGAATCAAAATAGTCATTTTCTACCTCGCAATGTGTTTGTTTTTGATTAGCACGATCTTGATTTGTTAGAATTTCTTCTTGATCAGCGAGAGGTTGTTCTTGATTTAGATAAGCTTGCACTTGATTAGCACGAGATTGTTCTTGGTTGAGATAAGCTTGCACTTTATTAATACGAGCTTGTTCTTCTTGCTCAACAAAAGCACGTCTTATGTTATCAGGCATATTATTTTTCAGAGAATTCCACATATAGTATTTGAAAAGAACTGGTGTCGGATATAGTAAGCGATTGCGTGGACTAGGTGGATTGAAAACACTTGCGGTATGATCAAAGGCTAACTCTATCTTGATAAAAGCTAACATAACTGCAAATTTATACTTAAAATTGCCATTTAGTTCGCTTTCATATTCTGCAAGAACTGCATTTTTGAAGTCTCCAAAATTTTTCCTTAAGGAACTAATAATATCGTCATGATTAAGTCCAAAAAAGTAGTACCTATCTCCTAATACGATGTGAGTAAACAACTTCCCTTGCTTATTGTAACAGAGATTTATAAAATCTAAAATAAAATGCAGATTAGATGTTGAGCAGAAAAAATCTAATCCTTCCCATCCATCTGCATCCTCAAACTTCGGTTTAATTAGATCAGAATACATCTCCTTAATCCATTTTGAAAATAAACATAATAAATTAGGCTCTCCATTACTTTCACAAAATGCTAAAAGTGAATAAGTAAAACTACACGTATACATTAAATGAAGAAATACGTCTATACCTTCAGTGCATTGCTCCCATACTGCCAAACAATGGGATGACATCACGTTGAATGCATTAGTCTTGTTTAAATGAAGAAACAAAAAAAGCGTTTCAAAGCCAGACCTGTGCATGGGATCAAGAGCTCTATACATTACGTTCAATTGCTTTTTAAATTTAGTATATGGTCTAGCGCGAGCTCTAAGAGAACTCGACAAATTTACTGCACCAGCTGCAGTTTGTCTCATGTCATGAAACACAATTTCGAGAAATTCTGTTACTTTCGGGTCTTCTGATTCCATAATTAGACGAATGTATAAAATCTGAATGTTTAGTTTAACTTTAGACACAATTTGATATAAAGTAACTGGTCATAGAAATAAGGCTGTCTGTATGATATCTAAAGTTTACTTAATAAGGTGACTATTACATAAAAGTTCGTGTAATCTCGACATAATTGGGAACGTTTCCTGTTACTTACTTCTTCTCGTCTGCAGACAATTTGATGTCGAGCAAAAGGGCTTCCCAAGCCGAGAAGTTCCGCCGATCACTCTGTAGCGTAGAAGTAGCAGGTTTGATTCCCCTGGATTTATTCTTTCGATGTCCTTTTCTAATTTGTACTATCTGTTCCAGATTTAACAAGGGCTTATAAGCCATTTTTGTAATAAACTCATAAGCCTGGCAATATTTGTAACAATAAATAAAATAAATAAGTCAAGCAGCATAATCTTGGGGGAAAAAATAAAGTAACATATCCGAACCTTTCTCACTGCTCGTCCAATTACTCTTTAGTACGAAGATAGCGGTTTCACTGCAACCCTCAATGTATCTCGGAAATATCCTTCTCTTATTTGCGCTATCCGTTTTTCAAATAAGTGTAAAGTTACACCCAGGGTAACAGAGAGATTTGAACCGTTACCACCACGCATCAGAAAGTTAAATATATGGAAAATATCCCTCGGTCACGGAGACACCTCAGCATTTAAATACAACCCTGACTTTAAAGCACAAAAGCGTGCTTTCATCTTTACAATATCATCTTTACTGAAACATTACTCTTGCGCTTCCGTTGCCGAGTCGTATTATCCTTCCACAAACTTTTGGAATCACGGAGTTAGCAGATTTGGTTCCCACCGTAACTTCCATCTTATTTTTTCTCTTTGTGGTGCGCTTCTTTGTGCCATCTATTATTCAATTCAATAAGATCTTATAAGTTGTGTGAGCGCATAAATTCGTAGACTTATGCATGAATGAATAAATAACTTTAGCCTTTGTAGTTTCTTCGATTTTGAAGTTAGTTCCCCACCTTTTAAGCACCTTGTAAGCACCGCGACTTTCTGCAACTCTGTTGCAGGCATCTATAAGCTTATGTGCCACAACCCTTGATTTAAGTGTTTAGGCCATCAGCTTTATTATTAGTTAATTTATTGATCGCAATTTAAAAAACAGTCCTGCGTGCTCAACATGAAGTACGGATTATTAGCCCTTGTCTATAAGGCTATATGACACGAGGCAACCTAGTTGAAAGCAACTAGCGGTTTCGGTGAAGTTGAAACGTGTCATATGATGGTTGCCCGGTTGCTTTCAACCTGCTTTCAACTAGCAACTGAAGTTAAAACCTTTCAACTTTAGTGGAGCAACCAGATTAGTTGAAACGTGTCATATAGTAGTTTCCAAATACTTTCAACCTTAACTAGCAACCGTTTAGTAAACAAAATACACGTGCTGATTCTGAATCATCCTGAATTTTTATCTTTTAAATTTAAATTTCGTTTAATCTTCTAACTATGACTATTTTAAATGGAATTCTAGTGATATATGTATTTTTTTTTTAAATTTTTCAAACGTATCCTTGTCTTTGGGACATAAATAACAAAGATTATGAGAATAAACTAATTCCCTATAAACTAATTTCCTCTGTGGAGATATTAAAAGTTACAAATTATTATTGAATTTTAAAAGTGAATGAAAAAAAAACTAGCATATTACTAATTACAAATGTTTAAATATTTGAAAATTCAAAATTATATAGCTTGAACGCTAAGCTTTTTAAACTCATTTTGGCAGATTTTGATAGATATTTCTTTGACAGATATTTCCGAGTACTAATGAAATTTTGAAACCAAGCGAAAGAAATTATTTTGCTTTTCAATCACCTTTTTTCTGTTCTAGTTGTTCTTTCAGAAACTCAGCTATCAGCTCAACGCGTACTTCAAGTACATCGTCAATAATCGCTTCTATGATAATTAAAAGAGCTTTTAGCAATAAACTTTATTGAAAAATATAAGTTCTGGTATTGGACTGTTATATACTATAATAGTCCAATATCAGTGCCGTTCTGGTATTGGACTATTCAGAGTTGGTTGAACAAGCGAAGGTTGTAACGTGTGATCACAAACGAGAAACCAAAAACCGGTTTCGTAACTAGTTGCCTCCACTTGGTTGCCTAGTGTCATCAGCACTTAAGGTGCGCTATATTTTCTTCAACTTGACAAGGATTATAATAATAGATTCAAAAATAATTAAATACAAAATAATTACCTATAAAATTATTCCCAGAAATGAAACTTAACTTAAATGGAATAACACTACTTGAGAAATTCCCTTTAGGATGAACCTTGGAATATTTGTGACAGAACTTAAGGTTGTTCAGCCCTAAAATAATAACGCGCGTTAACCAGTTAAAGAATAAGCACGTTAATCAGTTAAAAAATCTGAAAAATCGGTTTTGCATATTCTGTTAATCTTCACAATCAATCAAACAAAATCGAAAAAGGAATTCTTATGAAAACTGCATGTTAAAACAGTACAAACAACAATTCTTTCTGAAGATTGGTAGGCAGGTGCCACACTTAAATATGCTTAAAATATTTCCTAACATTTAAAAACTAAATTATTATCGTATTTTATCCTTTCTCAATAAATGAAAATCTCTAATATAATCGTTTGCTGTAGGACATTAAGGAAATGGGTGCGATTGTTCTTGTCTTCCAGTGGAGCACTCTTCTGTCAAGAATTTGACTTCCGACAAACCCACACACCCTTTTATAGAATGGACCCATTCATACATCCATTCATTCATCCACAGATCATAATGCTGAACTGGACCTGAGAACGATCAATCTCCAATTCAATACCCACAGATGTATAATTTGTTATCAGAACATAGAGGACTTTGAGACCCGACAGATTTAAAGCGCACCAGTCATCATTTACTACAAAGGGAGTCTTCAGCCGACTGGATTCGAACTCCCGTTCTCATGAACATTAGTCTAGCGCTCTGCCGATCAGGCTGTCCCTGCCAATATAATAGATAATCTTTTGATACCCCAATCTTCAACTGAGTGCTGAATAAAATTTATTTTTAGAGATTCCCTCTACATCTGTCTAACACTAATGTGTTAGGCATAGAATTCTAAAACCAGTTATATGGTTGCAGATGTTTTGAATTCGATATAATTCGTTATTTTTTCTCACACTCTATTTTCCGTTAACGCATTTAAATGCGCAAGGCTAAGAAAAAGAAACTTGGCGATAAATTGAATTAATCAATAGCCAATCGATGAATTCCTTAACTTTCCTTGGCGAAAACTATTTTTACGTATACGTAACATTCGCATTTTTGATTTCTTGGTGAACGGAAGTGTTATGTGGAGCTTATCCCTGCAGCTACACCCTCCGGGCAATGTTTGAAAATTTAGAACTTTTTTTAACAATTTATGTGTATACATTAAAAATTATGAATTCTGTTTACTTTACAGCTCCATCTTTCATAAATAAAACATATTTCTTTCTTATTTATCATACTTTGATTCTTCGTTAAAAAATAAAATAATAGCTTGTCTTCCTCACTTTGGACAACGGAATAATTGGGTAAATGGATAATAATAATTACCTACAATGATTCATAATTTTTTTTTTAACTAGTGTTAATCATCATCTTCAGGATAAATGTTACATTAATATTGCCTTTCCTCCAACTCCATCAAACTAGTAGTAATCGTCAACTTATTCAATAAATCAAATTCCTTGATAGCAGGTACTTTATTTGCGTCGCACTGGAGCTGCACAATGGGCTATTGGCGACGGTCTTAGAAACATACTTAAGGAGTAGCATCACAATTTGGATCCTCTGCAGAGGGGATTGCTCCCACCCTTTGGCAGCACGACGACCTTTGCGCAAAGTCGACCTGATTGTATCATTAACTGAAATGAATTATCGCCTTCTTCCTAAAGTAACAGAAAAGTAGGGACACTTAGTGTTCTATAGAGTGAATTTCTTAAGAAAAAATTTGAAGGGAAATATATTATCAAATTGTATGCAAACAGTAGCTTGTAAAGAGAAATTGCTGATTTAAAATCAGTGACGCGAAAATATCTAAGATCTGTTCTAAAATTACAGAAAAAAATTTTTTCCCCAGTGTTATTCATAGGTGAAATCACATTTTTTTTCTTTTGTTCTTACATTTTCTGGCTCTATTATTTATTTATTTTCATTTATTTATTTATTTTTGGAAGATGAAATAACTAATATCACTTAATATGGCTCTTCTCATTATGTACGTAAAGCATTCATTTTTTTCCCCTCGCTTATTCAAATTTAAATTCTTTTCAACCCTTCTGTAAATGTTTCATTCTTTCTTATTTGTAAGAAATAAACAATGAGTAATGATCGCTAACGTTTAATGAAAATGAGCATTTCGTAATTTTTCTTAATTTATAATCAATTTTCAATTGAATTTTTTTACACTTCTTATCCTTTCTGTTTCATTCTTTTTAAACGATGGCCTTTCAATTTTACTAAGTAGGGGAGAGGGGGGCACATGTGAACATGGTATGTTTTACCAATATGATTCGAAATAAAAAAATCTTGAAGAATTTTCAATACATGATAGTATTAGTCCTACCTCTCTGCAAAACTTTCAGGACAATGAGTCATTTTGTTGTTCTATTCTGACATTTTCTTTGTATCAGCTGGTGTTGTATATACTTTTATCACTCGCTTCTTCAAGTGAAAACATAGTATAAATCAACTAATAAGCTAAAATTAACTATTGCAGATCATTATATGCACATTCAGGTAAGTTTATGACAATTATTTTCTTTTTACTCAATCAAAAATTCTTTATTTTTCAAGTTAGGTTTAAGAAAGATGATGGGACACTTGTGAACAAAACATCTAGGGCAGATGTGAACAGTTTACATGTGCCCTTACAAAGTATTAAGATTGTTATCTTCATGATATTATAAGTTTAAAAAATATGTATGCGTTTAAAATTATTATTATTTAATTTTCCATAATTAATTAATTACTTGTTAATTTTTTCTTTTAAGACTTTTTTTTATTGAAAGGTTGGTCAACAATTTTGTGTTGTATAGTGATTACAAGACGCAAAAAGATATGATATTTTATTACTTAAAAAGTTGAGTTTAAAATAATTCTTAAAATAT